GCTAGATGAACGGAAGCGTGGCCATCCCCAACTCCCACCTACCTTCTGGGCCCACAGGAACTCCATTACAGTCTGTGAGCTCAGACAGAGCCTGGGTGCCCTACCCTGTCTTCCACCAATTTTTTTTTCCCCTTTTTTTTTTTAATTTTTCACTTTTGTTTTTCTTCCTGGTGATTAGGTTGCTTCTATTTGTATGTTTTAAAACAACTATTAATATTAATACTTTTGTCCTTTTTATTATTATTCTTAACCTTCCCCTCCCAGGTCCTAGTTTTCAGCCTTTTTTATTTTCCCTGTCCCTAGTTGAAATTTTTACTTATTTATTTATTTTTAATTTAAGGGTTTTTTAAATCTCCCTTTTTTCTCATGGATAACCCCGTTCCTTGTTTTTCTTTCTACATTTTCCTCCTTCTCTACTTTTTTTGTCTTAGTGACCAATCCCCAGATACTGCAGATTTTCCTGTTTCTTCTTCTTCTTTTTCCCTTTTTATCTTTTTTTGGTTACTGTTCCTGTGTGATTACATGGTGTGTTTTTTGTCCATCTGCTTTTAGATTTGTGATGGTTATTCAATTATAATTTGTGTCTAACTGAGTGAGAGACAAGAAGAGTCCCCATAAGACACAATTATACCCACACCTCCTGTAAATTCACTTAAGGAGCAAGAGCCACTAGCTCCTTCTCCACCAACGGGCTAATCATAAAAAAACCACCAAGAAGAGCCTGAATCACCCTTCACTGCTCTTCACAAAAAGTTAACAGAGATCTAAACACAATAATACCATGATGCCTCGGAGACAACAGACCATCACAGTCCACACAAAGAAGCAGGATAAAGTAGTAGAAACTAGGGAGCAGGATACAGACCCACAACACATCCCTGAGGAAGAAGCAGCATTGGAACTCTGAATAAAAAATTCAAAAGAATTCTATTTAGGTATCTTCAAAGGACTGAGAGACAGACCAAAGAAAACACAGAAAAAAACCTTACAAGAATTTTGGAAGAAATACAAGTACAAAATGACAAAACAAATGAATAATTAGAAATGATTCTAAACCTACAAATAGAAAGCCAGAAGATTATTACTAAATTATCAGAAATAGATAACACACACATTGGAGGGGCAAAGGAGTACAATTGATGCAATGGCAGACAGAATTAATGAGATTGAAGACAAATACCTGAATACTTCTTTGGAAAGGGATCAATCAGAAAAAAAATCAAAACAAAAAAAAGGAAGTCTAAGGTTCATGTGGGATACCATCAAAAGGAATAACTTACTTGTCATTGGAATTCCAGAACAGAAAGAGAAAAATAAAACCACTGAGAAAATTGTCCAAGATTTGCTGGAGGAGAATGTCCCTGATATGATGAAAAATGGTATATATCCATTGAGGAAGTCCA